CACACACACACACACACACACACACACACACACACACACACCGTTTTTATTTTATCATCAATATTTTGTGTGTCACTGGACTAGTTGAGTAAAAATGCATGAGATGAGGCTCTTAGTCACATTGAATTTGTAGAGTTAAAAATAAATGCACACATGAGGATACATATATATTTATAGGTATATAAACAGATGAATATAGATAAACAGGAGAATATAAATATCCTGTTTATATACATACATGCATACATATGTATCCATATATATTGCTGCTGGTGTTTGTTGTGCTTTGTACTTTCATTTATTATTGATTTGTTTCCTTAATGAATCAATTTCTGTCTCACTAGTCCCAGAATAGGCCACAGAGATGCAGAAAGAGGGACTTATTTTTGGAATTGTTCAGGACCCCAAGCACTTTAAATGTGGCCATGTCCTGAGGATGCTTTATGGTCTCTGATCCCTCCAGTTTCCCTGGACCATCCTTTTTCTGCTTAACCTGCATCCCTTGGAAATCTTCAGGACAAGCAATCCATCCATCCATCATCTCTTTATTTATATCTCATGTTTTTCCCAGGCTGGGTCTAAAGGCAGCTTACAGAAAAGACAAGAGAATACAATAAAAGCCATACAGGTAAAAGAACAAACAAAGTCAAGGTCCAGACAGTATTATAGAACCAATAGCAAGAACATTTTAGCAAGAACTAATAGCAAGTACCAACAGAATTAAAACCAATTAAAATCTTAACTTTAAAACAGATTAAAAATAGTTGCCTTTTGTTGTCGTTGCTAGGTGCCTTTGAGTCGTTTCCGACTTACAGCGCCCTGATCATGGGATTTGTAGTTTGTTGAGGCACCAGAGCTCTCTGACCGAGAAGGCTAAATGTCTCCCTAAACTACAAATCCCAGAACTCCATAGCACAGAGGCATGGCAGTCAAAGAGATGTCAAACGGCATTATTCCTGCAGTGAGGATGCAGCCTTAAGAGGCATTGGAAATGGTTCACACCTAGACTTTTTCTATTTGGAGTGTATTGCAGTATTGCCTTGGGAACTTTGCCTGACTTTTTTCTGCACAGGTCTAAAGTCAATTTCTAAATGCTCTACTAAAGTGTTAAGTTACTGCAATGCTAGAAATTTAAGGAGTAAGGGGAAATTTCATTTTGCAATTTTCACTCCCGGCTGCATTCGGAGTGCAAAATATCCACTAGTGGCTGATGCTTTTAATCTTTCTTGCTCTCTGTTTTTTAAATATTTAACAATAATACAATATCAGTATTACAATTCCCCGCTTCATTACAAACAAACCCATCACCATTTCCAAGCCTCCCTCAATTTGTAGTTTGTTGTTGTTGTGTGCTTCCAAGTCATTTTTGACTTATGGAGACTCTAAGGTGAACCTATCAGGGGGTTATCTTGTCAAGATTTGCTCAGAGGAGGTTTGCCATTGCCTTCCCCTGAGGCTGAGAGTGTGTGACTTGCTCAAGGTCACCCAGGTTTTTTTTATGCTGGAACAGGAAAATTGAACCCATAGCACACAATAGAAATACTGATCTGTGAAACATCTTATGTCTGTAATTTTCATTCTTTTCCATATGTATTTACATATATACATATGTATTCCACATGTATTACTTATGTATTATAACAGGTTGAGTCTCTGTTATCCAAAATGCTTGCAACCAGAACTGTTTTGGGATTTGGGTTTTTTTTGGATTTTGGAATATTTGCATATACGTAATGAGACATCTTAGAGATGCAACCCAGGTCTAAACCTGAAATGCATTTATGTTTCTTATATACCTTATACACATAGCCTGAAGACAGTTTTATACACAATATTTTGAACAATTTTGTGCAGGAAACAAAGTTTGTGTACACCAATATCTCCCCTGCAAATATCTGGGATTTAAAATTCCTCATTAAACAAGGGATTTGGTGATTCTCAGGTTTGTCTGGTGAGGTGTCATTCCATGCTGTTCCTTTTACGTTTTTGCACGTGATCTGGAAATATTTTAAAATATTTATAAGCTCCAGGAGAAAACCGTGAGATTTCTCCGGTTACAGTGACCTCCAGGTTCACTAGGAAGGAAAGCAGTGCTGTAGCTGGCATGCATCCTGTAGTAAGAAATCAGTCAGAAGAATGAGATCCATTAGTGAAATGAGCTGGTGAGCGGCAGTAAATGACTGAGGTGTTCAATCCAGGAATGTCTAGAACTGGGCACTCACCGAGCTTGGAAAAACATTATTAATTTGGATTACAACTCCTAAAGTTTCCCAGCTAGCTAGGGAATTTGGGTTGTGTAATGAGAACCAGTGTGGTGTAGTGGTTTGAGTGTTGGACTACGACTCTGGAGACCAAGGTTCAAATCCCCACTTGGCCATGAAACCTACTGGGTGAGCCTAGGTGAGTCACATGCTCTCAGCCTCAGGGAAGGCAATGGCAAACCTCCTCTGAACAAACAAACCCATCACCATTTCCAAGCCTCCCTCAATTTCCAAGCCTCCCTCTTGCCAAGAAAGCCCTATGATAGGTTCACCTTAGGGTTGCCATAAGTCATATATGACTTGAAGGCACACAGCCATGGAAAAAATAGCCCAGCTTGGCTGGTAGGTACAAGGTTGAGTCTCTTTTATCCGAAATGCTTGGGACCAGAAATGTTTTGGATTTTGGATTTTTTTTCAGAGTTTGGAATATTTGCAAATACACAATGAGAGACTTTGGAGATGGGATCCAAATCTAAACATTAAACTCATGTATGCTTTGTATATGCCTTATACACATAAGGTAATTTTTTGCATAATATGTTTAATAATTTTGTGCAATAATGCACACTGAACCTTCAGAAAACCAAGGTGCTACCTTCTCCACCACCCAGGCAGATGATTTTGGAGTATTTGGGATTTCAGAAGTCCGGATAAGGGAAACTCAACTTGTAACAGTAAATGACGGATTCCATTTTATTTTCCAGGTGTGGGCAGGCTCAGAGCTTTTAAAATTACCGTATGTACTCGGCTATAAGTTGACCTGATGTATAAGTCAAGGGCAGATTTGGGGGCCAAAATGATGGATTGTGATACGACCCATGGATTAAATCAAAGGTAAAATTTAAGGGCGTGTAACAGTGGATCTAAGGATGAAGGAAAGGAAAACAATGCCAAAGAACTTATAAAATTCCACTAGGCATAACCGTTTGTGCTCACACTAAAGATGGATGACAGAGATGGTGGGTGAGTGGAGGTCAGTGCTTCCAGTATAGATTACACTTTTGCTTTTCACCAAGGGATGGTTCCTTTCTTTGTAAGAGGTCAAGTAACCCACGGATAAGTTGACTTAGGTTTTTTGAGTCAATCTTTTGACTAAAGCTGCTAGACTTATACATGAGTATATACAGTAGACTTTGTTTCTGGACTACAGTTCCCAGAATCCCCCAACCCCCTGGAGAATTTTGGAAGCTATAATCCAAAAACATCTTGTTGTCAGTTGGTGATCAGCAGTAAATGGCTGAGTCCAGCTGATGTTGACTTGCATATAGGAACAGCTGACACACAAGAGCCAGCATGGTGTAGTGATTTAGGTGT